AATGCCCGCGACCCCCAACACCATCCGTCTTTGCACGCGGCTATTCCGACTTGCTGATCCTTAATTGTTCGACCACACTGTCAACCCCTCACTTTGTTCGTTGTCTGGAGGAGAGTTGTGGCCGACTCCCTGCATTGCTTTGTCCGGCGTCCTCGTTCAAGGCCAGCTGCCTCAAGGTCATTAAATAGCTCAGTGAGCGCTTTCAGACGCGCTGACCTGCAGACACTTGACCGACTTCTACTTGCGGAGACACACACGTGCGTCCAGGTTGTCGCGGACGCCCAAGCGACACTTTAACGTGTCTCAATTACGCCACGCTCGGCCGACAGAGCCTATGCCACTAGACAGGACGCCCCTCGGGTAATGTCACAGACACCAACTGGAGAACACTTGAACCTGCTCCGCAATCTTAATCAAGCAGCTGCCACCACTATCTCACTCTCTCTCAGGTCTGGCTGGACGCAGTCAACATTAGCCCTGGCTTCACTAGTGGCCACTGCCGCCTAGAACAGCAATTGGGAGTTCTGTCTGGTGACTTCTGCCTTTTAACTTCCAACCTGAGATTTGGCCTGATGATCGTAGTGATCCGAGTACACCCACTACTTAGACCGCTACACATTATGTGCACGAATTCGATCGATAAATGGGCCTCGAAAGACGGAAGGAAAACACAGGGCAGGGGTGGAGTGCACGCCGCGGCTTTCCAGCCAAAACGTCCTCAGGGAATAAAATTAGGCCCACAAACTCACAAGGCCGGGCAATCAGAAGCAAATCAAAGCAAAATCAATAACTGCAATGGCGACATCGTAGATAAATGTCCCTGGAAAACTGGTCACACATAGGCCAAATTGGACTGCTTTCAAAGTGGCGCTAGCGTTGTGCACTGATGACCTCATTGTTGTCGCTCAAATAAACAAAGAGGGATAAAATTTGGTTTAAAATGCACCAAGTAGGCCAACCGACGGATATATAACAAACTGTGCGTGCGAATGGAGGGAAGAAAAAATGGCGGCTCGATTTGCAAGGCCCGCTAACATGGAAGCCAAGGTCGTTTGCTGCTGATTGAACGATCTCCCGGGATGTTTGGCCCACAGGACACAGCACTTGGCAAACAACTCTCGCTGATTAGAAGCACGCACGGATGGGCACGAGGCAGAGGGGGAGTAGGGATTTGGCATCGTCCACAGTTCTGCTAGTAGGTTACGCCCACCTAGCTGAAATTAGGCGAACTGCGCGGCCACTCCTACCTTCCCTCAGCCTCCAGTTGTTGGCACAGTCCACCATGAGCACTGAGTTCTGCGCAACATTTCTAATGCGGCTGCTCTGACAGTCACTGAGAGGAAGAGGAAGTTGCGTGAGTGCGTGCGGTGACACTGTGCGGGGTTGCACGTCAGCAGTACGCTAGCCAAAGCCTGTAAAGTGTTCAAAGCCATATACGATGGTCAGCCATCCTCTCCCCTCCCCGCGCTACCTATAGCCGTTCGAACATCAAACGAGTTGTATATATTGGAACGAGTTATAAATGGTCGCTGTGCCAAGCAGTGGCAGAATATCGGCGAGGCGTGTGTGTTTAATCCTTGCTGGCTGCCTGTTGGCACTGTAATGGAATAGTACACGGTTATCCCATTGCGGCTAACTGAATTTCGACACAACTATGTATTCATATCGGCATTCGGTCTGCACCTATAAAGCTTAACTCAAACTGGTTTACTCTATGTAAGCGATTTGTTTCTGAGGAAATTAAAAAGCGACTGGGTGCCTACCAGAAAGGTGCACGGGAAATGGACAGTGGACAGGGAACTTGTCAATTCTGGAAGGAATTCCAGCCAAGACTGGGGCTAATGCTGCAATAAATGATTAATAAAGCACCAGCGCCTTTGACAGTGATGCAGTCAAACAGCTAGCAGGGCGTGAACCCAGGGTTCAATGCTTAGTGGCAGGCTTCTTGGCATAGGGGTTGGCTTCTGGTCGGCTAACAATGACGAAGAGGAAAGGAGGAGGAGGAGGAGGAGGAGGAGAGAACTGGCCTAGTTAGTTTTCCTGTCATTCTCCATACACGCTCCGATAGTCAACTGTTTTCCACCGTCATAGTGTCAATTAGACCAAACCAGAGGACAACACTCCCAACGAGGCTACTATTAAAGGAAGACTGATTCAAGGAGAAATCAATTTTAAAAAAACTTTTATTTTCCGCTTTGGAAATATTCACCGAGTCAAGCAAGCCACATGGCCACGGGCTTGGCTGTGTAAAGTGATGAGTCAGAGCTTGTCGTGACTAGTTTGCGTCGAAGCGAACTTTGCCAAAGCTCACTGCCGCAGTTGTCGATTTCTGGGAACAGCCAAGCACAGATGCTGCAAAGCTGGCCCCGGCCAGACAACGAATCGCACGCCTGCACGCGTAGGCCGACCCAGTCAATGACCGCTGGCCGCTGGCATGCCTACTGCTAAACCGACACTCAGGGCCCGGCTAGCCTCCTAGCTGGTCGTGCGCACGATAGTCAAACTTCTTCCTGCTTATTCTCCATTCCTCTGTATACAGAATAAACTATTCCTACTATTCTGACCTCCACCGACTTTAATCTCCTAAGGAACCGAGCCTAGAAGATCGCAGTTGCTAGGGTTTAACTCCTTAACCACCTGCGATAAGGTGACCTGGGTCACTGCGAGTGGCCACATTGACTTTGGTGACACCATCCGAACTGCGTCCTTCGACTAGGTATAGCTGCGCAGGCGATAAGAGCTCCACACACCTTTAAGGTGGCCCACAGCCACAGTTCCATGACCCACGGTTTAATTTTGCTCTATACCCACGAGAAATGGTGGGTCTGTCCATCTAGCAGCTACGCTACGTTCATTAAAGTCTGGTTCTATAATAGTCAAGGAAAATGTAGTAGTTTATAGCTTGCAGAGGAACACAGCCACCAAGAGGATCCCCTTAAGGTTCAGTAGCATTGCTTGAGGTTGCTCCAAATTACGGTCTCCTTGGCCTTAATCAGTACTCTTTCCTGCCTTAATCCCGGCCACTGCGTGACCACCTGCAGGGGCTCCAAATGGAGAATCGGGGCGCAACGGGTCAAGCATGTCCCGTGGTCTGGATGTTAAGCGCCTCTTCCACTGTGGTGAATATTCCCGTTCGTGATCGATAAAACAACGAACCCGTTTGACTTGAGAAAAAACCCTCAAGAACCAAGAAAGCCATATTCAAATCTCGGATTGGATAGCGTTGGCTCAGCGTGGTAATAAGCCAAAACTTGTCATTATGGTCTCCCTGGTCTTGGCCAGTAGTCTCCTTCCTAAAGGGACCCAAAAGGTGTCTTAGCATTAAACCTTATTATTGAGCTTTTTGATTTCCTGATAAATTAATTGATGTCCGCGGTATACAGAACTATATTTAGGGTTTATAGGCGAAGACCAAAATTCTAGCTAGTACCTGGGCTGTTAGTATGGTGAGTTACAACATAAGTATAAACCTTATTATTATTATTATAAAGACGAACTCCTCTGGGCTGGTGTGACTGGATGAAATTTTACATAGTAAGCATGGTTTACATGGAGATGAACTCACCAGCGACATAACGATCCGTTCCCTAAAGGGGTCAATTGGGGGGTTGGTAACCTGGGCGAAGAGTTGTTTGAAGTACTCGTAGACGAGCGGGTCAAAGTTGGAAAGGCAGGCTAATGGAGCGTCGTTGCCCATGGATCCCAGGGGTTCCTTCCTGTAGGAAAAAAGTAATTGGTCAGATTTCATTGATAAGTGATGGTGACACACTTCTAGGCATAGTATATCTTCCGGGGGGGGACAGAGGAGCATAGTCGCGCTTAAGCGGTCTACATCCTCTGCCAAACTGGATGGTTAGCCTGCCTCTAGATGCAAAAGTTCCCTGGCGAAGTGGGAGTCTAATATAGTACAAAAGAGTCTGGATGCTCGTCGCTGGAACCTTGGCAATGTGTGGTACCCAATGCTGGGGTCCAACATGATCCCAAATTCCTAGGACATCACTCTATGAGACGAAAGGAAAGATAAGGGTAAGGATGGCTTGTACGGTCTTTATATAACCTCAGTATCATAATTATATCACCTTTATATCAACTCCATAGAGACTGTATAGCGATGGTTTAGATTCAATGATTTTGCCCAATTGGGTACGATTGGGCCATTTTGATTATCGCGGGCAAATATTTGGGTATTTAAAATAATTATTCCCATTATTTTCTGCGTTTATACGCTCTACTTTTTTAATCATTTTTTCCTTCTCCCGATATGCCTCAACAGTTTAACCTTCATTACCGTCCGTCCAGTATCACAGAAGGGTGGGGCTTTGACGTTCTGTTTGGGAACCTAAATTGAACTGTTATCTGGTCGCGTAAACAAGACACGGTAATAAGAGCGCACCAACCACGTAAAATAGCCAGCCGTACCATAAATGTCAAGAAGGGTAAGTATTCCCGTCTCTAAACCTAACATAAAAAACCCTACGCTCAGTCTTGATCGTAACCCCAGCCTCAACGTAAACCCTGTTGTCAACAGGAAAACAAACCTGAACCCTTACTACAATCCAGACTCTAATGCCAACCCTGACTTGAAGCTCAACACAAAACTTGACCCCAATCTCACCTTGGTCCTAAAACCAGGTTCTTCCTGGGATTTGGCGTAAATTCCGCGTATTATGCACGCTTCCTGTTCCTGTGTTTTGTTTAGGCGGCCATAAAAGTCATCCCTACCGAGATTAGTACCACAACAGCCTTAAAGTAACAGACACACACGCGCATAGCTATCGGAGCATGCATGTTGTGCAACAAAACATCTGGTGCCAACTTTGTTGACTTTTCGCGATTACTCCAATTAAGGTCGTTAAGTTGTTTTGACAGAATTCGTAGTGTTCGTGAGGAGATGGAGTATGCAAATATCCCTTAACTGGGTTGGCAGTTCGACCGTCAGAAACTATTATTTGAACCACGTGCCCTCATAGAGCGGGCAAAGACTGTTGCAGCGCCTACGTCACTCTCTCTCTCTTCCCTTACTTGTTTGGCTCTGGTGGCAAGGCAACGCGACGACGACCGCAAGAGGGCGCGGACGCGAAATTTCTGACAAAAATAAACAACCTGACTACGTGCGCCGCGCTCGAAGTTTCCACTTCTGCATGCCCCCGGCTCTTCGTAAGGGAGGTCCGGTCCTCATATGGCTATACCACCGCAGTGAGAAGGAACCATTGCAACCTGTCATGAGAAGAAGCGAGTTATTTCGTCGGGTGGTACCCTTCCAGGTCACGACTTACAGCGTGTCTTGGTAGATTCAAACGCTTCAGATTCGCCCTAGTTGGGAATGTGTTGACATTCCGGCTTGATGGTGTAGTCATCAGCATTGGCCTCCGTCTCGTGCACCGATCAAATCTTCGAGCCTGTCAATCGGTGGGTGATGAGACTGGGCACGGTGGCTTTTGTGGCGCGAAAGTGCACGGTTAAGGCTGTTTTCGCCGCCAGCCAGGCAGCCTCAGACCATAATTTCGGTCAGTTTAGCCATGACTGGTGGTGGGTCACAGCCCTAGATCCAAAGTCCAGACCAAAATGGAAGGCGAAAACAGCACATTCTGCAGACAGCCCGCATCGGCGAATGCCGCTGCGTCCAACTGACTGTGGTCATTGACCATCACGGTACCAGCGCTCTGCAAACAA